TATGTATATATGTATGTATGTGTATATGTATTGTATATATGGTATATATGTATATGTATATGTATGTATATATATAAAGCCAATATAATGAATGTCAATGATGGTCAAGATGTGTGTGTGTGTGTGTGTGTGTATATATGTATATGTATATGTATGTATATATATAAAGCCAATATAATGAATGTCAATGAGGACTGAAGTGGTCAAGATCAGAAACGACAAATAAAGGACCACAAAACTAATCCATATGACTATATAATATATATAAACTATATTCCAAATCTACTGAAAGCATATGATTGTTTTGTTTGGAAACAGGACAAAATTTTTATTTTATGTACTGAAAATTTCCATTGTGGCTCTTAAATGTCATTTGCACTTATGTAGGGTGACCATACATCCTCTTTTTCCTGGACATGTCCTGGCCGGGATTTCTAAATTGCCTAAAATATCTAAAATTTGCATTGGTTTGACTGTTCCCTGTAGGTCCCACCTTCTCGCATGCCACGATTGGTCGATTATGTATAATGCCTGCACTCTATTGGCCATTACTTTCAGCAAGTATGAAAACAATAGAAAACAAAGCCACAACCTGGACAATTTAAGCAATTTAGGAATCCTGCCGTGGACAAGAGGTCGTGTAGTCACCCTAGCTTATGCACATTCATAAAATCCCAGCACCTTTGATTTTACAAATAAATTTGGTTTGGTGCTTGTCTAGCTGGTAGACAACTAAAACCATTTTGTTAAGCAAAAAACAATGCTGTTTACCCAGCATGGTCCTTCTAATGAAGCTGGTGCACCAAGGGAGGCTTTAAGGTTAAAAACAGTTAAAACCAGTACAGACATCAGCATCTAAAACTAAACGGCCTGGTCTTTTCAGGGTTTGAACCTACCATCTATAACCACTACACCACATCACCCCCAAGAAACTGCTATGGTGGACCAGAAAGCATCAGATATGATCTGTCAAACAACCCACTAAACCCTGATCTTTGCCAAAAATACAGCACATTTTGCAAAATGTGACCATAAGCAGATCAGTTACCACAGCAACATGCATGAACTGTCAATTGGGAAAGACTTACATCGTTGCATCAGCTGGGACTCGAAGCAAGTGATAGATACAAAAATAGCTGACGAGCTCAACTGTTTAAAGAACTATTAAACCACATCAATTGCGACAGACAATCCACCATTCATCAGATCAGATACTGTCGAATAATATATAAAAAACAGTGTATATAATGCTTACCAAACGATACGATCTCCTTTCTTCCTTCTGTCATTCACGCCCAGCAGATCAACCCACTGCCCCCTGCAAGGCTCTATAAACCTGCTGCCTACCAGAAAGGACGTGAATCCTGCGCTTTATTATGAACCATATCCCGTGTTTACCTTCACAAATACACACTTTTTAATTAAATATAACTAAACGGCACCCGGTAAAGAGCAGTTACGCAATGCGAGGACGAAATGCCGGTTAATCTCGCGCTAAAGGTTGTTTATAGTAGGGAAGGTCGCCGCTCCGCAAGCTGTTGCCCTGAAAGATAGCGGCGTACGTTTTCGGGAATGCGCGTACAGCGGTGGATTGTACGCATACGGCGTAGTGTCATGACGTCATGACGTTTATATCATACGAGTCCGTTATGTCTAGTTTTTGTTTATGCGATGCTATTTGTATTTAGTTCATTACTATTTTCATTCTTTAATTAATAACATTTTCTCATTAAAATATTTGTATAAACTTCACGTTATATTCACTTTTCATTTTAAATATGTCGTTTTAAATTTTACAAATTTAATTCCACCTTTATTTGACCCTCTAACTCTAACACTTTCTATTCTATTTTAATTCTACTTTATATTTATCTTTTTTTATTCTTTATTTAAAAAAACAACAAAAAACAAAAACTAGCTTTCTATTTTTTCTATTCTACTTGTTTTTCTTTGTTTGTGTGTGTGTGTGTGTGTGTGTTAATATATATATATATATATATATATACACCTTGCTACGTGTACTGCGTTAGGCTAACCGAGAATTGTCATTTGCACTTATATATTGTTGCTCTTTTGTTAGTTTTGACGGCTTTTATTGTCCTCATTTGTAAGTCGCTTTGGATAAAAGCGTCTGCTAAATGACTAAATGTAAATGTAAATTTGAGCTTTGCCCATTGCGACCTATGATTGCGACCCAAATTATCACAAAAAAAATAGAATTCCTCTGTAAATAAATAAATAGGCTGTGGCCTATTTATTTATATATATTATTAAAATATTTCCATTTCTTCTGACAACACTTTTCCAACCTATTTTAATATTTTGCTTCACATTTATAAAAGCATAATTTTAATGAATAATTTTATGTTTAAGGACAAAATCCCAAACAAATTGAATCAGCGAGTTAAAACTTGAGAAGCTGACAAACAGAAGTCTGTTTTATGTACAAATGCTTTAATATTTTGAATTACATTTATATATATATATATATATATATATATTATGTTTTACTTTTCATTTTAGTATTTTTTTTTTTTTTAATGGCTATAATGTTGCCTTGTTAACTAGCTGAAATGAAAGAGGTTGAAGTTTTTTAATATTTTATTTCAAGTAATGATTTTTTTATGGTATTAGTTTTAGTAACCCTGCTTGAGAAGACTTGTAATATAGTACATGATTCGTATAGACCACTACTTTAATGCTTTTATGGTGTTTTTGTCATTTGGAGCCCCATTACATTAATGTTGCTCAACTGCAAAACCTCCAACAAAGGCATACTGAGACATATTTCCAAAAAAAAAAATAAAAATAAAAATTACAATTAAGTGAAATGAAAGTCTTTTCTCTTGTCTTAATTCTGAAAGGATTGAGTACAATGAAGTCACTTTATTCTTCAGCCTTCTAATCATAGCGCTCTGCAGTTTCAGCCGTTTCCTGTAAGCCGTGAGCTTGCCCTTGTCCAAGTTTAAATTGTTCTTCAGTGTCTCTGGTGTTTCGGCCATGTATGTGTGATCCATCCACACAAACAGTGTCTGATGACACAGAAATTTGACAGGGTTCATGGCTATATGAAATGCTACATCGTCCACTGGGATGAATCTCTGAGGCCCCACTGCTTTCATGCACTTCAGGAACAACAACAACTCTCAAAATCTCCTCCATAGCTTTAGTGTTTCTCAATATGGCCCAGACTATTTGTAAAGAAACAGTTATCTTTTTATCATAGATGAAAAAAGGGAGTTTTCCACAAGTTCCACTTGTCCCATCTGAGATACACCAACCACTACTGCAGCCCACAGATATTATCTAAAGGGAAACGGTGAGAATGAGAGAAAAAATATATAAATATGTCAAATATAAAACAAACCCCATAGATAATGTTTTATTTTTTTTTAAAGGAATGGGTTTTCCGGCTATCATTTGTACCCTATATAAATTGTAGCTTTTTTAAATTAAATTATCAGTTAATGCCAGTAAAGCGATATTATAAAGAAAAGTGAAATCATTCATAGTAAGATCTACATATATTAAAAAACGATACAATCTTACACCAGATCCTCGACGACATATGAAGATTCAAGTTCAACAAAGTAACGAACAAAAATATGAAACTCCAGAAAAATAGGTGAGCTGTGTTTACAATCAAAGCTTGATCGAGACAGTCACAGCACTGTTTGTTCTGGCGTTTGGCAAACCAACTTATGGTGCATTTCCGCCAACTACTGCACTGGAGTCTGGGGAGCATAAGGGTGGTTGGATGTGGTTAAACCCAAACAAGCACCATAAGAGAATCAAACCTCATTTATACGACTACGCTCTACCAAAAGTCATCTATACGCCACAAAATTACTTTACGTGAGGAGCATACTAAAGTGTAGTTCGTTAACACCCTGTCAAAACCTTCACTTGACTCTCCTGCCGTTGTTTTATGCAACAGCTCCATCTAGTGATGAATATCCTGCATTGCAGCCCCTGGGCGTGTTCTTTTCCAGTTGATATATTTATGAAGACAAGCTCGGACTTTGACTGCAGGAACGAGTCCAAAGAGTTTGACTTTCAACATATATGGTGTATATACAGATGTCTCATTAATATTCAACGGAATTCTGTTTTGTAAACTTAATAAAATGACTATTTTCTATCAGGTCAAAGTTTTAACAACATTTACATTTCTGAAAGCATCATAAATGGTATCTAGATGTCAGATTAAGAAAAAATGGCAGAGAATTGCAGATTATTTTATGAAGTTTGGCCCATTTTGTCTATACCGTGAACTAAAATGGGTCACGATTATGACTTTCAAGCAGTGGTGTATAAAGTACCTGAAAGCCATCCTCTAGTAAAAGTACAGATATCTTACCAGAAAATGACTCTGGTAGAAGTTGAAGTAACCGTTTAGAATATTACTTAAGTAAAAGTCTTAAAGTATGTTATATTTATTGTACTTAATTATGAAAAGTATTTTTTAAATCTTAAACGTAAGTATTGAAAGTAAAAGTACAAGTAGGCCTAAATGCAAAATGAAAAGAAGCAAAAGATATATATATTAAAAAAAATTTTCATACACAGCTTGAGTAGCAAGATTGTGTTCAGTTTTAACTCTTTCTTCCATTTTGTATTTTTGGGTAAGAAATAAGAAGCACTTCTTCCAGTACTTAGTGTCTTTCATTCCAACATAAGAAAACATTTCTGGAATCTGCATCTGAAATAGCATTTAGATGTATTTACACAGTTCATGTATCTCAGAGGGGACATGGATGCATTTAAACTGCAGTTACAGATGCATAAATAATGTTTTGTTTTTAACGTAAAACGTTGAATACTGTTATTTGAAATTATTTTAAAACATAAAAAAATACCGGTAGTCGAAATGTGAAATTAAAACCGCCAGTAGGTGGCAGCAAGTTAATGAGTGAGTCATTGAGATTCAACCGATTCGTTCAAACGGCTGATTCATTCAGGAACAAGGTATTTGACTGTGTTAATGAGTGAATCACTGAATCATTTATTCAACCGATTCCTTCAAAAAGCTGATTTATTCAATAAGTAAACACCGTCCATTGCTCAGAGACGCAAAACAGTGCTGTGATCTTTGTTTGGAACTATTTTCGTTGGCAAAATTGAGCAAAAACAAGCAATATTATGTCTAAAATGTAAGTCACTTATTGCTAACTTTACTGAACTTGTATAAATTGATTATTACATTTGTTATCATGCTGATATCTGCAGAAAAACGGCACTCTTTGTGTGATATAGTTTGAGTTAACTATATTAAATTATATAAATATAAAATGCATACAGAAGCATTTTTTGCCGTCTATAATTTAGAATGCCTGGAATTTTGAGTTTTAATAGACTAATAAATCACGTGCGTGCACTCTGTGTGTGAT